AAAAAACTTTTTTTATTGTAAGGGGAAAAGAAAGGCATGCAGAGTAAGCATATTAAAATTGATCTTTGCTTTTAATAGTACAAACGTGTTTGCAAGCAATTAAGTTTATCTTGCCGAAAGAAATTGTGGTTCAGATGCTTGTCAAGTGGTACAATGTCCACAGTGCTCCAGGAGGACCCAGTTATATCACTCAGAGTGGAATTTATTTGTGACTTGTCTCATGAACACGATGGGTTATGACACTGACTGCTTAGCATGGACCCAAAATGTAAGTAAATACATTGTTCTCTTCACATAATGGTTGCATAATTGGTAATATAACATTCAGAGTACCTAACAATACCTAATTTAAGAATAGACATAACTTATTCAAAATAATAGAATAATACTAAGGTTTATTGTATCTATATATTGTAAATAAGTCTCATTTAATAATAACATTTTACTTGTAATTACAATGATCGAGTCTTTATAATGTGTTAAAACACATGCTATTGTTTTTCATTTCATTTTTTTTTAATGACTGCAAGTTGTTTGTAATAGTCTTGGTTTTATTGATAAAGAAACTGAATCACAGAGAGATGTCTTCTGACTCTTGGCATACCATTCTTTTCTGAAGATGAAATTGTTTTTTTACACATGAATTGCTTGTTATGTGAAGAGGAAAGTTTCACTTGAGGGGTATTTCAAATGTATTAGCTTAAGTGTGTACTCTGCTATTGCTGTAAAGCCTTATTTCTTACCACCTTCCCCCAGAAATATTCTTATAGGCCCTTATTAGATTATTTACAAAGTCAACAGGGTAGTGCTTTCAGTGTTGGTGATTCTCTTTTAGCTGTGGACATCACTCCCAGGACCTTGCCTGGGTCACTCTGAAGAAGTCACTCTAGATTACATTTATCTTTGTTCAGGTAAGTCAGCTATCCTGTCTGTATATTTTAACCTTGTACTAGCAAGTCTTTTTTATATTATGAAAGAAAAATTTGAAAAATGGATGAATTATGAAGAAAATAATTATCACTACCTTTTTAATATTGCCTTCTAAATAAAAGTATCAATGAAAATTTCTCATATCATTAACTGTTTTTTAAATTTATTTATTTATTTATTTATTTATTTATTTTGAGTTGAAGTCTCACTCTGTCGCCCAGACTGGAGTGCAGTGGCATGCTCACGGCCACTACAGCTTCAACCTGCTGGGCTCTGGCGATCCTTCCGCCTCAGCCTTCCAAGTAGCTGGAACTACAGGCGTGTGCTACCACACCCGGCTAACTTTTTGATTTATTGTAGAGATGAGGTCTCGCCAGTTGCCCAGGTGGGTCTCGAACCCGCGGGCTCAGGCAATCTACTCACCTCAGCCTCCTAAGCGCAGAATTACAGGCTGAGCCACCGAGCCCGGCTTGGTTCAGTTAATTCTTTTTTATTTTCATTTTTTGATTTATTATAGAGATGAGGTCTCACAAAGTCGCCCAGGCGGGTCTCGAACCCACGGGCTCAGGCAATCCACTCACTTCAGTCTTCCAAAGCACGGGATTACAGGCTGAGTCACCAAGCCTTGCTTCATTAACTGTTTTTAAAAACCCATTATTTTATGGTTTAATCATAATTAATCATTAGCTAATAATTATGCATTGTTGAATTTGGTTTTATTATGAATAATTTGGAAATATTCTTTTCACACAAATCTTTAACTACATCTCTAGTCATTTCTCAAGAATTGCATCTTGAAAAGAGGTATTACTGGGTCAAGTAATGTTTGGAAAAGGTTTCCAATTGACATTCTTACCAGTATCACTTAAAATTTCCGTTTCACCACATGATTACTGTGGTCTGGTGAACTTTTACCAACTTTGGGAGAAATTTAAAGTATCTTATTTCTATATGAGTAAATGGGAATGGTGTTTTCAAATTCTCATTGGTCGTTTATTGTTTGTATTTTTAAAATTTGCACTTCATGTCCTTTGCCTGTGTTGCGTCTCTTCTGATAGTCAGGTCAGGTCATGCTAGTCATGTCTGTTTTGCATCCTCCAGTGGCTTCCCATCTCACTCAGAGTAAAAGCCTTAGGCCTACAAGATACTGTGTGACTCAACCCTCTTTTACCTTTCTGGTCTTATTTCTTTCAAGGCATTACACGTGTTTTCTCAGCCTCGTTGACCTCTAGTCTATTTCTTGAGTACTCAAGCATGTTTCTGTCTCAGGATGTTGCATTTGCAGTTACCTCTGGAGAATGCTTAGGTCTTTATTCAAGTATTACCTCAGTGCCGCCTGCCCTGTCTATTCTATATAGAATTATGCCCCCCATACTTTTTGTTATATTTAACTGCTTTACTTTTCTCTTAGCATCCAGTTGAATATAACATAATATATATATTTTACTTTTTAATTTTGTTTGTCTCTCCTCCTCCCACTGGAATGTAAAGTCTGAGAGCAGGGATTTTTGTTTAATTTTGTTGAGTACTGTCTCTCTCTAGGACCTGCAGTAGTACCTGGCAAAGATGAACATTTCTTGAATGACTGAGATTATTTTTCAGAGTTTTTGTCTGTTGTAGGCTATGAAATAATTGCCCTTTGCAGTTTCCTTGAGAAAAAAATCTTACTGAGAAAATAGGGTCATTTTTTTTTCTTATTCCAAACAATTGCATTAAAGCTATCTTATCCTCAGTTTTTCCATCCCTTATTACATATGAAAAGATTAAGCCTTATAGAAACTGAGAATTTCTTCATGATGAAAAAGCACTTTTGCTTTTTGTAGTTTTTTGTGTGTAATTGTCTTGTGGAACTTGTTGACAAATGTTGATTGTTGTGCTGAATAGTCTCTGACAGAGAACCATTGCCCTCTCACATTTCCATGCTGTAGGGGGGAGTATTGAGCACCTGCCCTTTTTGTTTTGTGAAGAAGGACATGACTGGGAGGCCCAGGCAGAAGGATCACGAACTCGGGAGCTTGAGGCCAACCAGGACTACATAGCAAGACCTAGTCTTTGCAAAAAATTACCTGGACTTGGTGGCACATGCCTGTAGTCCCAGCCACTTGGGAAGCTGAGGAGGAAGGATTGCCTTAACTCTTGAGATCAAGGCTTCAGTGGCTGTGACCATGCTACTGCACTGCAGCCCGAGTGACAGAGGGAGACCTTGACTTTGGGGGGGGGAAAAGGACATGGTTCTTTTACTTACTGCATGGCAGCTCTAAAGGAAGGAATAGGGAAATTAGTTCTTGAGACCTAGTTGCATTTCCATTTATTTATAGGACTGCATAGTTAAAACCTTGCTACCTTTTGTCCTCGCGATCAAAACTTAGGGTGAAATGGTTCTCATTGGCAAATAGTTTTCATTTTGCTTTGTTGAGATTCATCTTCTTTTTGCTTTGCTTTTTTTTTTTTTTTTTT